AGCAATAATTTCTCATTGTACACCTGGGGCGGGGGTTTCCACGCCTTTCCGGAAGATGTTGCGCTACCAGAAGGCACTACCGAGCAAGCATGGGTGTTTTGGTGCTGTGGAGACCCAGCAAGATCTCTGCCCCCATTTCGTAGACTGAAGAGCGTTGATCTAAGAGAAAAGAAACACAAAAAGCGGTTATCAGACCTTAAATTCCTTATGGGATTGGTTGAAGAACGCGCTTCAGCACTCAACATCGATACGAGGACACTTACTACAACAGAAGAGGCCGTGGAAGTTTTCCGACGATGTGAAGATGTCTTGGAGATGCCTGATGAGACTCCAAACGCTCGAAAGCGACGCAGTAATCAGTTGGTTTGGCAAACAGTGACTTCTATCATGCGTAAGAGATTAAAGAGCGTTGGTCATCGGTAATAGCAGCACTAACATTGCTCTACATCACCTTACTGGAGGTCTTGGTTGTCTTGGTTGCGAGGGATACCTTAATAAACTCGAAATCAACTGTGATATGATTGCTTGCCGATTATAACGTAACCACTCCAATACCTTATACGTACCCCTCAATGTAACCTCATTCGGCAAAACAGGATAATCGTCCGGTAAATTCCGGTTGTTTTTAACTCAAAAATAAATAAGGAGAGCGCGGGGACCCCAACAAGCGATATAGCTACCACACTTTCACGATTGATCGCTCTGTTGACTGTTTCAAGCATATGCTACTGTACCATTATTTTTGCACCGTGTTTTCTATTCGGCAGGTGCTCTAACCGAGGCTTGACCTCAGAACGCTACTTCTTTTTAGACCACCTATATATAAAATGCGGGGTAAGACGGTAAGACAAAAAGGGTTTTGATGTGGCTGTTCACAACGTTTTTTTTTGTCGTGCGACCGCCTAATGCAAGGACTGGGGGTAGGGAGAAAATTTTACCGGTATTACTGTCTTCCTACCGATATCAAAGACGGGAGCGTCGGCGTTACATCCTCCAACGTCAAATCTCTTAAATCTTGAGATGAAACTGCAATCTCTGGAATTTGTCTCCGTGTTGGAGGAGGGTTGTTTCCAAATCTCCTCGTACCCTCAAAGAAAGGCACGAAATCTCCCAAAAGTCTCCTTTTTTCATTGGTAGATATCAAACATTGTTTTATCGAAGATCTTTGTTGGAAAGGTCACTAAAACTACAAGTCAAGGGCCGTAAATCTTCTTTAGTGTTCGATGGAAGGTAGGCGTCAGGAAACTTTGATGCGCTGGCGCAAGAATGCCGTCCTCTCGACGTACCTCTCTCTTGTGCTCAACACTTTGGACGACTTGTCCTCACAACTCAATTTGCTTTGAAACCCAGCACCTCGCAATTACCAGACCTGCACATGCATTCCATTCCGCCAAGCATCCGTGACGCGATAAACGCTTTCGAACCACCTGATGGTTATATGGTCCTGCCACCAAGAAGGAACGAAAAGTCTGTCATCTTTTCCTATGGCGTCAGGTTGGTCAAGGCTCCTGCTGACTCGTCTACGAATCCAGACCTTACTTCGCCTGCAATATGGATGTGTTTGGCCGGGAATGTATGCCGAGCACGTGATGTTTCGTTCCCGCTATCGACTGGAAAGACATCAGCAGCCACAAACACCTCAAAAAGGCGCACGATATCCTCTGCAACCTCCTTCCTTTCTTTCGGAGAAGGCCGCTCCTTGGTCCGGATGTCCTCTTCATCATCCTTCGTTTTCAGTTTGTGGAACAGGCGAGCTTGCTTCAGACGCTTGTGGCAACTGGAGCAAGTGATGCTCGTCCGGAACTTATCCATCGGTACGACCGTCGCCCTTTTCCCTAAACGCTTCGACAAACCCTATGACTGGTCCCGTAGGATGGCCCTTGATTCCACCCCTTCGACTCCAGTCTCCGTAGGAAATACAGACTTGCTTGCTGGCATTGGGTACGAGGCGTTGCGCCAATGTATCCAACGCTTTCATCTTGGCGCGGTCTTGCGTGAAACGCCACTGCAAGAAGGCCTGCTTTGCACTGAGCGCGAGTAGGAAGCGCACATGCTTCCAAAAGAACAGGAGTCGGTCAAAGTAGGCGTCGTAACTAGCGGTCTTAAACGACGGCATCTCACGAGTCACTGCAGCATACCAGGGCTCCCGCCTTTTCAAATTTTTGTTGTAAAATCGGAAATCGTTCATCCGAGCCAAGTGCCTGTACTCGCGAGTAGAGATATTTACAACCCGCTCTTTTCGTTTGCCTCAGCGCTTTCGATGATGATGCTTTCCATGACAAGTTTTTTGTCGATATCTACGCGGAAAATGGCCGATCGAGACTGCTGTTACGAAAGAACGCATGCCGGGGTCGATACCGATGAGAAACTTTGACGAATAGTCGGGCCCAAGCTTGAACAACTTCTTGGCGACCGTGTCTGCTTCAGCGATCTCTTCCGGCATCTTCACTGTCTTTTTTTTCTTGGTTTCTTCTCGGTACCAGCGGTCCCGTCGTTCTTCTTACGCTTTTTCGTTGACACCTGCTTTTCTACCACGGCCACCGAAGTTGTAGTCACTGAGCGTATCAAAGTGACCGACGCCCCGTAGCCGTTGGTTTTGATCTCGTCCACGAATTTGCGAGTCCGCGTTTCGAACTGCTCCACGTCGAAGATCTTCCGGAGCACTTCACCTTTATTCTTCTGGAAA